TCTACATTTCTTACTGTATGTACCAACATGATACTGATGTGCAATTAGATGCTAATTTTCTTTTCTTTTTTCTCTCCCCAGTCTCTTGTTGCATGCCTGGGTGGAGCCTTTCTAGGTGGAGTAATAGCACGAATGGCAAAAGACTACAGGCACTGCCGTGGAGGTTTGCCTGATCTTGTGGTGTGGAACAGCTCAAGCAATAGCTACAAGGTGAGATCACCTGCCACCCTGGCTTCTTTTGTTCTCTATATTTTTATGGAATCAGGAGATTTTTGGTGCCCAGTAGTTTAAACTCTTGTGATGTCATGTGATTGTAGCTGGTGGAAGTGAAGGGGCCCAATGACCGACTGTCCCACAAGCAACAGATCTGGCTGGATGAGCTGCAGAAACTTGGGGCCGATGTGGAGGTGTGTCACGTGACTGCTACTGGAGCCAGAGGAGCTCGTCTGGAATAAACGGACACAGAGAAATTGACTGATAAGACTTGTGCTGCTAATTAATCAGACTGCGGTCAAAAAGAAAGCATCTGCAATCGGACATGCTGGAAAAAAAAACATCCTGTTTGATCAACCTGTAGAGAATGGTGTAAATCTTGATTTCAAAATCTATAAAATTTCACCTTTCTATGTAGGAGGAGGTTAATGTGCTTTGTTTTGTATGGCATTATCATCTGGTCTTCAACAGGAAGTCGTGCACTATGTGATGAGGATCATCGTTAACAGCTTCCAGGATCAAAAATTGCAACTGATGCATGACAGTAAATAGATCCAGCCACTACACTAATATAATGGTGTTTCCTTTTTGGAACAACACTGTAATCACAGGATTGTGGGTTGCCATGCAACCAAGACTCACATTTTCTTGGCTGCTTATAAATTACATGACAGCTCTATGAGTTTGTTATGCAATTAAACACTGTGATAATATGCCTATAAATAAGCTTTTTGCCAGTAAGCATTCGGTAATCAAAGATATCAGCTGGGTGCAAAGGAAGAAGTCATGGGGCTACTTTTAATCAGAGTATTTTAGGGCAGGACTGAAGGAAATTTTTAGCCAGCCCAAAAAAAGCTGCTTCCTTTTTAAATGCTGTATAAAAAATAATAATAATAATAAAGAAAGAAAGAAATCTTGAAATAGATTTTCTGTTATGCAAGCATATTAAACATTTTTGATTATCAAATGGTCACAAATAACTATAAGATGCACACATCTGTTTAATAAGCTAAGACTCTGCCTCAGCATGTTCATTTCAAACTTTGACATTGCCGTAAATCAGTTATTAACAATAAAAGTGTATCATAGTTGATAAACTACCCCTCCACAGTGGCTCCGTACCCTACCAAGAAAAGTGGTCATGCTTAATGCCGTGTACAGTCATCCTCCCAAAGGCCCATTATTTCTTTTTTAAATTATCAGTCAATCTGTGGTTTGCTTTCTCTATTAACTTATTAAGTGTTCAGTCTGAATTGGTTCCCTGATGCTAAGATGACAAAATCGTATTACTGGTATGATGTGACTCAGTCACTTTACTGTAAGACTCATCTCAGAACAAGAACACTGAGAAAAAACACCACCACTGACAGATGACTCTACATCAGGCATGAGAAGAGTCCGTGAGTCCAGAATAATCTGAATCTGGATCAGTGATATTTTATTGAGAACATAAAGACGATCATGAGTTTTTTAATATTTCAGTTTGATATAAAGTTGTGAAGATAAGACAAAATTTCCAGTTTTTCCCATCATTCAGTGATGAAGAATGTATCAGAATGTATCCCTTTATCCAGATCTGGATTAAGTCAAATTTGGGCCAGCCGCCACTTCTGATTTTTAAGAAATTGAGTAAATTCATCCACAACAAACAAATAAGCTGAACCAAAATACAGAGGTAATAAAGTGAATCTTTTCTAAGGTTAAACAGGCTTAGGACACACTGTTTAAACTGAGTGTTGTGAATGAAGCAACATACGTTTTTGGCAGTTTATGAGAATTTATAAAGTATGCCAAACCTACAACCACAAAATAAAAAAGAATAATAGATGGATAAATGTTAATTTTAATGTTTTTTTTTATTTCAATTTGATAATTGTAAAAGAAATTATTCCAACCTGTCCAAACAGGTTTTGAGTAATGCTGCTAACACCTAGACAAACCAAACCAAACACAACCTCCTCGGCGGAAGTAAAAATAAGCACTTATGATCAAAACTAGAGGCCAAAAAAGTGTTTTCACTATTTTGTAGCATAAACAGTGAATTTGTTATCTAATGTTCATGTTTCAGCTCTTTGAAATTTGTAAGCAAATTAATAAATTAAGTTTATTTATTAAGCTCTTTTCACAGTCATAAAGCACTGTACAGCAGAAAATAGTAAAGGAAATAAGAATATTAAGTGCCAAAAAAAACCGGGTAGTTACAAAAGTTTAAACAAAAAAAGTTTTGATACATGCTCAATCATCCAGGTAAGAAAACCCTAAAGTTGTTTCTGTTCATCTGTACATCTGCCAATTTAATGATCAAGAAACTGACCTGACAGCCCATTGTTCATCATTGGTGCTAGTTTCAGTCATTGTGCAAAGGTGATGTTTATAAGGCTAAGGAAAAACCACTCAGCCGAGACAGAAGAAGTCACTTGGATGAGAGACGAAACGTTTCTATGCCCAGATGAACAGAATCAACTTTTTGCGCTATAAGAAGCAATAGAGATAATATTAGGTACCATGTGTCAAAACAGTAATACTTTTTATGATATTTCATAACTCGATAATAATTATATATATATATATATGTATGTATACACATTCTGACCAAAAAAATATGATCATGAAAATATGGCGATGGAATACGATGATGAATAGGATGTTTGAGATAGAAATTATGTAATAATAATTCATAATGGTGCGCTGTTATCATCATCAACATTTACTTTATGACAAAAACTGTTTGGTGTGTGAAAATGTGTTAAACAATGTGATTATTCATTATTAACAAGTTATTAAATATATCATAATTTATAATATTCAGAAACATTGTGATTGCCATTACCTTTAATTACTTCCTCTGTCAAAAATCAGAGGCATACGTCACTGGTTTGACACAAAGTATCCAAAATCGCTCTCTGGCAGACCAGCCAATCACAACCTGCTTGGTGGACATTTAAAAAAAAAAAACTCAAGTAGCAGTATCATTCACAGTGGGAGGTTGATACTTGGGGGTGTTTCACAGTTTTGCATAAAGTGGCTTCAACAGTGAATGTTTATGTAATATTAATGTAAAATCATCTGCAATTGTACTAAAAGCCCTGTAGCTGAAATAATTGAGCAGTTAAGTAGTTATGCTGAGAAAAACTCTAGAATTTTCATGTTTATTGATGTGTGCATATATTTATATATTACACACATGCACACAGAGAGGGATACGCATGACACTAGATCCGAGGCACACTGAGTGTTGTAATGTATGCAGGCCTGGTGGATCATGGACGCTTCTGGGGGAAGGGATGCCAGGCTATCCTGCGTCTGACGTCACGGCGCTGGAGAGAGGGAGAGGAGGCGATGTGAGGAAGCTGCAATAAACACACAGGGCGTCTGCGCCTATCTAAGTAGGACAATAAAGTGAAAACGGCATCAATGCTCTAACAATGGATTTGTCACATACCCTTCTCCTTAAAGTTTTCCTCTTCGTGTACTTGCTAAACTACACCCAAGGTGAGTGAGGCGGTTTCTGTCGGAGCAAATCGAGTTGTGTTGAATCCATGAAGCAGCGAGCGGAGAGGAGCAGAAATCCCGATAGCCTGCTAGCTACAGAAGGGATCAGCAGGGCCTGCTTGTTATGAAGAGGACTGCACCCTTTTTGCAGTATTACTTCAAGGCGACAAATCACACATAGCTTAAAAGCGGACTCGGATTCGCGCAGTCGATTGAAATAAACGGACATTGGGGAGTTACGTCCGTGTGTTGTCACCGTTTTTTATCGCCAGCTTTTGGGTGAGGGTTTTGTTGTTACCGTGCGAGCGGCGCCGACAGCCATTGTTATGAGAAGATGGAGATGCCGACTGTGTTAAAGCAGCGTTAGCTCTGAGCTAGCTGCCACTTTAGCCGCTAATTGTTCTGTCATTATTTAAAAAAAACAACAACAGGTTAGCCCCGAAAATAACCTGTGGTCAGTGTAAAAGACACATGTTTTCACATTTTGCTGGCATCATTTTGTCTGCAGTTTTGCTCCCTGTCAGTGGTGTTTTAAGTCAAATCAACCTGCAGTCAGTATTTTAATAAAAATAGTTTTTGTGTGTGTCTGTGTGTGTGTGGGTGCCAAATTGCTCTGTGTAAAATGCAGTATTGACGTGTAATGCACTTCTGCCATCCTACCTCTATTTGCTATATGCCGATGCTATGCTTTTAAATCCTAATGTTCTCAGCTAGATTTAGGAGTCATATACACAGATACATATACAATTACACAGTGGTTTTTGCCTGCATTGCTTCTTTTATTAATCTAATCTAGTCTAAACTACAGGCAATCCTTCGTGCCTAACACCACAATACGTCTTTTTATTTATTACAATGTACTCAAGCTATTCATTCACAGGCTTGATTTCTTTTTTCTAATTTTTACTTTCTGATTCTGATTCAGTATTTTTATTATTTTTTTATTGACCTATGTTGTTTTTGGCTACTGTAACACAGCAGTTTTCCCAACTTTTAAGATAAATTAAGTCCAACTTGTCTCATATTTTCCTATATTTAATGTTTCTCTTTGATTAGTGTTTTTGAAGTGTATCAATCTTGGCTCCTCACATTTTCTTTATGTTTTGTAAGTCTTTAGAAATTAATTTATTTCAGAGATATAGTCATGGCCTTCACTTCTCATAGTCACCTCAATGAAAAATTTAATGTTACCACCTAAATATTTCATACCGCACATGAAAAAGGAAGTAGCTGAAGCCTGGTCTACTTATCCATCTTTGTTATAATGTTGCACAGAATCCTGTAATTTATGGCTCACTAGTCAGGCATAATTACCTGCCAGAGAAGCCTAATTACATGGACTCTGTTTACTAAAAAAGCTTCTCTCTTCTTTTTTTTATATGGAGCAGCGATCTGACCTTACACTGAGGAAAGTGGTGTATATGTATGTGGAAAACACGCCAACATTCATTGGGGGAATAGATGCCATTAACAAAATCAGTCTAGAAAAACCCAATTTTGTTTGAGTGTGAAACAGTGGGCAAAATGTGTGGAGACTGTTAAGAATCGCTTTCTTTCAAGCCCACTACCCAGTCTTCAGGTGACGAAATAATTAAGCGGTGACACTGTGGGCTGTCGTTGAGAGTTTAAGGCTGCCATTCATTTGGCTTAAATAGATTTTAGTTAAATGTTAAAACCCAGACCATACTGATTTGCTGTCTGTTTTCTGTATTGTAATCCTGCCTGTCAAATATTGTCCAGATTATCCGCCTTACGGGCATCTAAACCACCCTAACATGAGCAGTGCGTCAGTTGTTTACAAATGTAGCTTTTGTGTATATTCTTTTGAGTCTTTCTGTTAGGAATAGTTCGTGTTACCAACTAGAATCGCATCCCAGTTTCTAATGAGTAGGGAACGTGTTTTTTCTCTTTTGAATTGCCGCTGTATGTATATATTTGAGGAAAAACAAACAAACATGCACACATACCTTTCTTTAACAGATGTTCCTTCGTTCTTTTCACACAGGACACTATAGAAATCCCCTAAACAAGTACATCCGCCACTATGAAGGCCTGTCCTATGACACAGAGCTTGTGCACAGCAAGCATCAGAGGGCCAAGAGGGCACTCTCTCATGAAGACAAGTACCTGCATTTAGATTTTCATGCCCATGGAAGGTTCGTGCACTTTCTTTTCCTAGATATTATCCAAAGGTAAAGTCTGTCTGCATCTGTTTTTCTTTTTTTCCCCTTTCTCTTCATGTATCTTTATTCATTTGTCTGTTTATTCGTTTGCAAACACCGTCCCGTGTACTTGTGCTGTTTATGATTAAAGTTGGCGGTCTTCTGTGTTGGGGGATTTGCAATTTTATTGAAAGTTGTTTTACAAAATCAAAAACATACGCTGGTGCATCATGTTAGGTCAGTGTTCAGGATGGATTTTAATGATCAGAATTATTTTCTGTGTAGGTTTTGTGCTCTCCCCTGGAGCTTCAGTATTCCTTGATTGGTTGAATTAACCGGCAACTACTCTAATGTTTGTTTAATTGCTTAAACTAACTGTGTTGGTGGGATAGAAATGGGCTATTTAAAGACACAAACCTGAGCTCAAAATAATTGCTGTTGTCCAGGTGTTCTTATTCCCTGCAGTTAAAGTGAAACTGTGCATGTATTTGTCTGTGTTCGTTAGCTCTGTGATGTATGTGGTGTTTCATGCTGCCTGAGTGGAAACCCCTCCAAATATCGTATATGGGTTGATACTAATCGTCCTTGTCATGGTTCTTTATCTAATATTTTGAGGAGGTGGTGTTGTGAAAAAGCATCCATGACAAAGTCACGACCATCTGGCTGGGATCTTGGCAAAGCCAGTTTGTGGCCCTTCCTGTAACAGGGCCTGCTGTTTCTAAACTCAGATGCAGCTTAATAGGGAAGCGTATCATAAGAGCAAGGTGAACTCTGAAGGAAGATGTCTCTTCCTTTAAAAAAAAAACAAAAAACGCATCAGCTTCTTTTCCTTTTGAATTTACAACAAAGCTAGAGAAAGAACTCCTGATTCTTCTGTTTAATTTGCAGCACACCACCTGCCTTTCCTTTTTGACATTTGAACAAAATGTCTTGTGCTTTACACTAACAGCCACTAATAGTAAAGTGAGGATGCTTTTAGATTCATATGCAGTATAAGGTTTGCCTCTAAAATGCCACCAGTTCTTAGGTTTTTAGTTCAAAGTGCTGGGGCAGTAGTTTCCTTCACACATCTTTGAGAATTGCCCTATTTTCCTGTAAATTATGGCTCTCTGTGTTATTTTCTCATGGAGTCCCAGACTGAGTCCACGTTGATGTTGTGATCACAGTGTGGGAGCTTTACCATCTGTTGCAAGACTCCTTGTTCTTGTCGCCAAAGAACGGACTTTGACTCTTGTTGAGTTTTTTTGGGCCCATTGCCATCCTACAGAATAAAGATTTTGGACCTCTCACGTGCCTCCTTAATAGGATTGAGCAGTGGATAACATCCCGAGAGCCTAAAACCTTTGCAGAGTTCTGTATGTATCTGAAACAGCCAATAAACATGTTAATGTACCGCAGAGTTTTCCCCTGAGATTCCTACAAAGAAACAGTGATTCACTAGGCATTGTGCACGTTGCAGGATGTATTGTTTGCTATTATATTAGGCTTCAGATCTAAATTTTACAAAGGCTTTGTGTTTCGTCTGTTCACGGACCTAGAGAACAGCAACTTTCACACAATGCGAGCGTACAATAAGAGCACTGTGTAGGTGTTCCATGAAATCCGAGGTTTACTGTAACATGTTTTTTCCCTCTCCATATGTTTGAACTACAAAAAAACACAGCACTGTTGCTAGATGCCCTAATTTCAAATTTTCTGTTTGCTCTCTTACAAATTTAAATGCTGCAGTTTTGCATCTGCAGCAGAAAACGGCGTATTTGGTGGGTTTTTTTTAATTTTGTTTTTCTCTGCGAATGCTCTCGCTTCGACCCCACCCCCCTTTTAATTTGCAGGTTCATTTTTAGAGAAGGCTGGGTAAATGTTGCTTACTTCCACTACTTACAGCCAACTGCAGCTCCTCTCCTGAATCTGAAGGCCTTCTTTTTTATCTCTTTGATTTCAGGCACTTTAATTTACGAATGAAGAGAGATACCACCTTGTTTTCCCCAGATTTGAAGGTAGATGTTTCAGGTGAAGAGATTCCGTATGATACCTCTCACATCTACACTGGAGAAATCTTTGGTAAGACTATAAATTTTTCACAGTTGTTTAAATGTGTCACTACAGTACTGCTGCTCTAGGGGATTTTTCAAATAACTGTTGGCTTTGTTTTTCTCAAATGCAAATGCACCCTCTTCTGTGTCAATCTTCTGATGCTTATAATTGTACGATTTGGACTCCCAGGCGAGAAAGGCACATCGACTCATGGCTCCATTGTGGATGGTAAATTTGAGGGTTTTATTCAGAGCTACCATGGCACTTACTACGTGGAGCCTGCGGAGAGATACCTTGAGGACAAGGACGTGCCCTTCCACTCTGTCATCTACCATGAAGATGACATACGTGAGTCCCTGCACCTTTAGCCACGCAAATACTTTGACAGACTATTATCCCGTGATCATCAAGTGTGTGTTTAGATATGCGCGTGTGTGACTGGAAAGTGCGAGGTTAGTGCTGCCGAGCCGATGGAGGCAGACTGGTGTGATAGGCCCCCCTGGGGAGCACAGACACCTGGGGTGTTCATTAGCTGAGTAACACAATCTTGCTCTTGGGTACTGGCTCATTTCAGCAGGCTTTGCAATGTTGATACTAACAGTGAGCACCAAGTACACTTCACTACACTTGCAAATCATAATTTCACATCATCTGTGTACACATAGCGTGTGGCTGAGGGGCAAATTAAACATAATTGTGAGAGGAATCACTAATGAGAGCGACAGGAAAGTAACTCGCACAGCAAAGCTAGGCTCAAGTGACGTGTAAGCACTTCCATTAGCTGATCATGAATAGCGCCTGAAATAGAGTGACTCACGGGGTTAAGTAGCTAACATTGTTTCCCATAATCCTAACAGTGTTGTGTCTGTCTCTCTCATACAGACTACCCGCACAAGTATGGCCCAGAGGGAGGCTGTGCCGATAGCTCTGTGTTTGAAAAGATGAAGAAATACCAAACCTCTGTCGTGGAGCAGCCCCCTAAGGTTAACTTCACCACACACCACAGTAAACCCTGACAGGTTTTAGTGAAGAGCTTTGAGGATATTTTATGGTACTACTTTGTCAGGGTCAAAGATACCTAGAGATGTCTTTTTAAAGTCTCTGTGCCTGGTTCTATGTTGTAAGTTATAACCATGTAAGTGTTAAACCAGTATAGTCACAGTTAAGATTTGTCACTTTATTATTAATATGTAATATATTTTTTATATATAATTTTGCATATGATTGTTATTTCACAGATTTCCATAAATTGTATTACGACACGGTTTAGTTTGGCCAGACGATCATCTGTATAAAAGTTCACCCGTTCATTTGTTACCGTTGTAGAGGAGTGGGAGCAGGATTACTCAAAAAGTTAAAGATTTAACTGCATGAAAAATTTTCCAGATTTCAGGCTTGGCCCACACTGCAGAAATGAATCATTCTTGGAGTCAGTTCAGATCTCAATCCAGGAAACTTTGGGGAAAGATTCTTTATCACTGCAAGATGGGCACAGTTAGACATTTCATCATATCTTCACAGATCAAGTTTAGTGTCGCGTTTGCGACACTAAACTTCAGATTTAGACATCCTTTTGGATTCAGAAATAAGGAAAGCAGCATCTAAGCCTCACATGTATTATTATCACATTCAAGTGATAGACTGAAACAGGATGACATAATGTTCAATTTGGTACCTGACAATAAAATGTAACACCTTATCTCAAGCTGCGCCTCTTAGCTCTAATCCAATCAGAGATAGTAGGCAGTAATAAAATATGTCTGTGTTCAATTTAAACCACATTAACAAAAAGCATTAGTTTGATTTATATGTTACTCCTGACTCACTTGGTGTGACATGTCACTGCAAAACTCTGTGACCGAAAAGTACTGAACACCTTAAAACTGAGATAGGTGTCCATCAGTGGCAGTGGTCAGCCTTTTCCCTCCACCCTGTATGTGACATAGAAAGCACATATTCCTCTGCAGAATAGAGCTTCATGAACATACTGCAGCTGAAGAACCACAGCCTAAAAATACCGGACATTATTTATTTACTCTTTTTACTGTTTGGCGGAAAAATCCTTTAAATATGTTTTATTTAACTGTGTGTTTCCTGCTTTGCCTCTTCCGTCTCACTCACACCAGGAAGTCCACACTGATCTGGACACCCAGCTGCTGAGAAAGAAGAGGATGGCCCAGGCTGAGAAAAACACATGTCAGCTTTTTATTCAGACCGACCACCTCTTCTTCAAGTATTACAAGAGTAGAGAAGCTGTCATAGCGCAGGTAATGCACAGGAAGTGACTTGGTATATACTACTCTTAATACTTTCTAAAGCCTAGGAATATATTGATAAGAGAAAATGTCCACAAAGTACAATTTCTATGGAGTTGCATTACAGTGTAGGAATTGTCATATTTTGGCAAATCTATTATCATTTTCTGGGGAGAGTTATACTTAGACATTAGCACCACTCAAGCACTACCCATTAACTACTGCGCTTAACTAATGAGAGTGAGGCTGCTTTCCATTTTTCCTAATCTGTATGCTAAGCTAACTTAGTATACAGGAGGCTAGCAGCAATAGGAAGATATTACTGCCAGCAGTAGCTTATTATTCAGTCTACTCCCTTTATAGTTTACACGTTGCCACTTCAGTTTTTCCACCAGCTTAAAGCCCCCAGTATAGCCCCGATTACATCATCCTTTTATGCGCGCAGTATTCTCCTGAACAATATGTGTCGCAGGTGTCAGACAATACCTCCACATCAGTGCTGATATAGAAGAAGTAAAAAGTGGAAGCATAGAAATTGTCTATCTATCTATTGATTTAATTATTTAGCGTCTGTTTGTTCTTTTAGGTTTGTTTATTTTCAGAAAGTTTATTCTTGTACCATCTCCCTCTCATCGATCTGTGACTGTCAGAGATTCTGTATTGATATGTCATTAAAACGGTGGTATAAACCTACACGATCGTAAACTTGCCTCTTCAACCCGGTGGCAGTGCAACAATGCGTCAGGTTACAAAAATAAAGAGATGCAGAAATGGCTGCTTGCGACGGCAGATGTGACGTCAGTGTTGTCGTACAGTGCCGTTTTGACAAGCACCGCATGGGTAATGTCCGTGGTCAGTGCCACGCCTGGCATAAACACTGATTTATTTATTTTTTAATGCCAAAACCACATATAGCCAGTTGAATAATGTATGATATTAGCCTACTGTTTATGTTAGCTGTTGTTGTTAGCAATAGAGCTACGTACAAGCAGCTCTTGTTAGTACTTGTACCATCACATACGGCGTACTTGAGTGAAATGTCAGCTATTAAAAGTATGAATACCTCGTACTTCCTTCAGATCTCCAGTCATGTGAAGGCCATTGATGCCATTTATCAAGGCACAGACTTCATGGGCATTCGTAACATCAGTTTCATGGTGAAACGGATCCGGGTGAGTCTTTTGCAGATCGGCCGCTTTTGCATTTTAGGTCTGTTCACAGTCTTTCCTGTGAACCAGCTGTCTCCTGTCTTTGCAGATAAACACCACCAGTGATGAGAGGGACAAGTCCAACCCATTCCGCTTTGCCAACATTGGTGTGGAGAAGTTTTTGGAGCTGAACTCGGAGCAGAACCACGACGACTACTGCTTGGCTTATGTTTTCACTGACAGAGATTTTGACGATGGGGTGCTGGGTTTGGCCTGGGTGGGAGCGCCCTCAGGTACGCAAATCTTATTCTTGTGATAAGCAAGCAGACTGTGTCTTGTTTTTACAGAAAGGTACAAAAACATCATTTTTTTCACATTCCTTAGCAGGAATTTGTCCTCGCAAATGTAGACTGAAGCTCATCGAGCAGGAACATATTTTTCTTTAAAACTGTCGGCAGATATTTGTTGCAGTCTGTTTTTACTCTACGCTGAAGTTGATTTGAGTTTTTAATTGAAAGCACTGGAGTTAAATTGCAAATTTGCTGCAGTAAAATGGGCATCTTCTCTCAGTAATGACAAACAAAATTTGCCTTCAGCATGTACTGTAAACATGATGATCAAGTATGTTTTTAAATAAGGCCTCCTGTCACTTATTTGAATAGCTGGTGTTAAATTAATCACATTCACTCTCTTCATTGAGCAAAATCTTTCCGTATTTTGTTTGTTGCAAATTGTGCCTTTCCTTCTCAGGGAGCTCTGGAGGCATCTGTGAAAAAAGCAAGCTGTACTCAGACGGAAAAAAGAAGTCTCTCAACACTGGTATAATCACTGTACAGAACTACGCCTCCCACGTACCTCCGAAAGTCTCCCATATCACTTTTGCACACGAAGTAGGCCACAACTTTGGCTCCCCGGTGAGTGCCGCATTTATGCACGGTGAGAAGGAATTTATGATGCCTGTACTCTTTGTCCCTTTTTCTTGCTTTTAATCTTTGATTTTCTTTTTTTCCTCGCTGCCAGCATGACTCTGGATCTGAGTGCACACCAGGGGAATCCAAAAGCCAAGACAAGAAGGAGAAGGGCAATTATATCATGTATGCAAGGGCTACATCTGGAGACAAGCTTAACAACAACAAGTTCTCCCTCTGCAGCATTCGCAACATCAGCCAGGTGCTGGAAAAAAAGAGGAACAACTGCTTCGTCGGTACGTTTTACTGTTTCTGTTGGATCTAGAGCCTCGATCTTAACTCGTGATCCGGGTTAGGGTGGAATATTTTTACCGCAAACTCTTAATTAGTGAAAGAATTCAGGCATCCTGAGAAGTTATTGGCTAGTATCAGCTTTGAAAAGCCAGCTTGGCATTAGTCCATGGTATTTTTGTACAGTATTTGGCAGACTGTGGAAGTAAACCTTGTCATCTTTTTTCTTTGTCTTTTTTTTCCTTGCCAGTTTCACACTTTTGAGTCAGTAGAACAGCAAACCGATGCTTCAGAAGTCACTCGATTAATTCACCATGTGATTGGCGTGTCTAAAAAATCTTCTTGTTTTGCACAAGCTGTTCAAAGTGACGTGCATCTTGGCTGCACTGATATGACTGAAAAATGCTTTAGCTTTTCAGACACTGCCTTAATACACCCACCCACAAACCGACGTTTTTTGGGTTTATGCTTTTGGCTCTTTGAAGGGTCCTTTTCTATTTTTCTTTTTCTTTTCTTTTTTTGCCCCAGCAACTCATTCTCTCCAGAGCAGCATTCAAGGGTTCGGTGTGCATGCACGCTCAGAATGAGCCTTTGGGGGATGAGGGTCCACTACCGTCAGCATGATTTGTGTACACAGTGAAGGAAATTTTTGTGCATTTTTCTAATGGTTCAGGCCTTTACACAAAAAGCACTTTGCAGAAAAAAAGACCCCATGAAATTTTGAATTTTTAAGAAGCAAACTTGTATTTTGTTAAAATTTTGCAACAAAAAAAAAAAGTCTCCTCAAAAAACACTATGGGAGTCAAAACATGGAGTCGACATCAAGTGATGATCAAGCAATGACAAGTTGGTCCTGATGTTTGTAAATGTGAAAAGGAAGAATCTGAGTTCATCCAGTTCTCAGGAGAAGACAGCAGCAGGAAGAATTTCATGGTTTGACCCACGAGTTGAAGCTGCATCCCGACCATTTTCCTACATACCGTCAGTCGGGCAGTTTGAACTCTTGTTGGCAGAGTTTGGACCACATCTGATCGATTGACCCGGAGCAGCATCTAGTTGTGTGTCTAAGATAAAATAGTATTATTTTAGTATTATATTATCATTGTATACTCAGTAGCGGTGCACATTTTGTGCAGCGATTACACTTGTTGCCAAATGCAGAGGTCTGATCCGGAAAAATAAATGCAGCAAATTTGTCCAGGAAGTTGCACAATCCTGTGTAAGGATGCATTAGGAATGGGCGAGTCCAAAATATTTTTAACGCACAAAATGTTTGTACGATTATTATGCATCTGGTGTGTAAAGACCTTAAAACAATCAAAAATCTTAATGTGTAAATGTAGAAAAAAACTGGGGGACAATTTTTCATTGTCACATCTGACTAGGAGAAGGTTTTCTCCTAGTTTTCTTCTACAGAGCATCAAAAAGTCTGTAATTCATAAAAAACCCCTGATATTATTTAATAAATGTCTGATTTAAACTTTGAGCTTGCTCCGCAAAGGGCTCAACACTTTTTTCTTTTTTTCAAAACAGAGTCCGGCCAGCCCATCTGTGGTAATGGTATGGTGGAGCCTGGTGAGCAGTGCGATTGTGGCTACAGCGATCAGTGCAAGGACAAGTGCTGCCATGATGCCAACCAGCCTGACAACAAGAAGTGCACATTAAAGGACCATACAGTCTGCAGGTAGATGACGATTTTTATTTTTCAGTTTGACCATTTTAATAACTCTTAAAGAGGGTGTTCTCATGTTTTCAGTCTTAACTCGGCGCTTCTCTCTTCCCCAAAAAGTCCCAGCCAGGGTCCTTGTTGTACAAGCGAATGCATTTACAAGGCTCGCGGTGACAAGTGCCGAGAGGAGTCGGAGTGCGCTCACCATGGCGTGTGTAAGGGCGACAGCGCCCAGTGCCCCACGTCGGAGCCCAAGGCCAACTTCACCGCCTGCCACGGAGAGACTCAAGTCTGCCTCAACGGGGTGAGTGGCTGAAGAAATCACACCTTGAAGAACTGGTTGTCATAGCAACACTGTACTCATACTAGCAAGTGTCTGATCTCGCCTGTCCTCGTGCTCCTCCTCCGCAGGGCTGCTCCGGCTCCATCTGTGAGAAGTACGGGCTCGAGGCGTGTACCTGTGCCAGCCAAGATGGCAAGGATGAGACCGAGCTTTGCCACGTGTGCTGCATGGAGAAAAGTGAGTCATTTACCCTTTCTCACACCTTTTACAAGCAGGCTCTTTATTTTATAAATATACGGGTGAGTTTTGTCTTTTTTTTTCCTTTTTTTTTTAACTGGATTTGTCTCTCTGCACAGCAAATCCCAGCACATGCAGCAGCACAGGATCAGAGCGCCTGGCTCGTTTCTTCAATAAAAAGGTCACCACGTTGCCAGCTGGCTCGCCTTGCAACGACTTTAAGGGCTACTGCGATGTGTTCATGAAGTGCCGACTGGTGGACGCAGATGGGCCACTTGCCAGACTAAAGAAGGCCATCTTTAACCCTGAGCTGTATGAGAACATCGCCGAGTGGATTGTGGTACGTGTCGACATCTTGATTGTGAATGATTAGTTAGTATGTGGGGGGTCTTTTTCTATTCTGTATTTGATTGAGCTTGATTTGCGCTTCATTTTCATCCCAGGCTTACTGGTGGGCAGTGCTCTTGATGGGTATCGCCCTCATCTTGCTTATGGCTGGTTTCATTAAGATCTGTAGTGTGCATACTCCCAGCAGCAACCCCAAACTTCCACCACCCAAACCACTTCCAGGTGAGTCCAGAAGACTAAAAAGAGACCTCATCTAATAAGAGTGTTTAGCTGTTAAGCATTTTCATGAAAGATTTTCAGATAATTTACCTGACCACCCAGATGTTTTAAGTCACATGTCTGCAGTTTGAATGTGACATTCAGTGTTTTTTGGGGGTGGGGGAGAGGGTTAAATATCATTTTTATTCAGGCAGGTCAAACCACCGAGAGAAAGCTCTCTTTTACAAGGACACTCTAATTACAATAAATATGAAAGCTACTTTTAGCTCCTGCCTTTTTCACAACGGGTTGTCACAGCGGGTAGCTCCGCATGTTTGATTTGGCAGATTTTTACGCCGGATGCCCTCGATGACACCACACCAATGGGATTCGTGTCTCCTCCCGCGATCAAACTAGGGAGCTTTTGCTTGCTAAAAGAGTGTGTAAACCACTACACTACAGGGACACAAATGAATAAAAATACAGATATATTTTTAAAAACCTATTTATTATCAGGCTGTAAAGTAAAATTAATCATGCAGTTCATGTTATCATTTACGGGCTTATTAACAATTTATATGGGCAGTGTTGTGAAATCAGTTTCCTGAGAACACGTACATATTTGACCAGTGAATCTGAGCTCCTAAACTTGATCCAGATTAAACTCAGATTGAGCTTTGAATGTTCACACAGGCTAAAAAGCATCACATTAAATCCACTGTACTGTGTGCCTTGTTAACCCTGCAGTCATACCTGTGAATGAGAGCAGTGTTATGATTACTTACTCTTATAGTTTCTCTACATGACTTTGGTTTTCTCACTGCATCCTGTGCTGTTGAGCCTAAGGGTGGTCATGGCAACCGATCTACTTGTTTAAATATGAGAGAAGAAGAAAGTGTAGTTGAATATTCTAAAAGGCATATTCAAATTAAGCAGAGTGTAATGGGTAAGGTGATGTAACGTCAGTACAAAATGTTTGCATGTATTTAAGAGCAGTTTAATGACATTTTCTTTGTTAATTAAGAGTATTTTTAGAAGTTGCTGTTTTTTGGCATGTTGTACACACATGCTACACGTTGATAACATTAGCAGCCCATCTTTCCTAAAGTTGTTGACGTCTGCAGTCCGAATGGGGTTTTGCTTGGCTCCACTTGAGTGCTGATCTTCCAGCCTACGTGCAACCGTTAATTTTTCTAGATCAAAGGACCACAGATCGGTCCCTTTAGCCTGTTTACAATTAGCTTCTTTCTGCTGCAGCTACAGTTAGTGGCAGGTGGTTTCTTGAAGCCTTGGACAGCAAAGCTAACCGCTGACAGTAAATAAAATAAATCGTAAGTCTGTCGGTATGAGCTAACAGAGAGAGTGTGTGTGGGTGTTCTGCCTCCATATCTCCTGCTGTGTCCTACATGGGAGAAAGACCAGCTTTGGACAATGTCTTTACTTGATTGTTAAGAACAAGGGTTTTCAAACCTTTGATTACCAGGTGCAGGTTCAGGGGTTGAAGCCTACAGAGGAAAAATGCACACATCAAACACTTTGATTGCTTGTATCTTACACATATATAGGACGTTCATGTTGGTTTTTGCCATTTTTGTACCCTTTCTATAGTATTTTCAGTCAGGCTCTAATAAACATTGTTTAACACTTTTATTAGGCCACCTGTCATAAAAACAAAAAAGCACAAATATTTAAAAGAAATCTGTCAAACTTTATGTTAAACGCAGTCTATAAGCACCTCACGCAAGACTTCTGTTTGCTGATTTCTCCTCTGCTTTTAATGAGACTCATTTTAAACTTTTAGATTAGCTCCTGATGCTGATTTTAAACTTTCTCACTGAAAGAGTCCAACAGGTCCTCGTTAATAAACAAATATCCAGTAGGATTGTGTCAAGCTCCCGTTGACCTCAGGGCTGTACTCTGTCACCCCTGCTTTTTATTATGTACGCCGACAGCTGCAGGACGCCGTACGAGAACAGGTTTATTTTTGTGTAACTTTTATTGTTTGTTTATTGAAAATCTTTCAACATCTTCTTTCATCTGCTGGTTCAGTATTTTGCCTGTTAAGGATGGAAACTCTCTCAGTCATAATGTTAACACCTCCAAAATCACTGGGGTCAGATTTGTGCTCACTCTGAGAAAATCAGGTGATAAAGAAGGCAAAAGACGTTGTTATATATTTTTATTTTTTGACCTCATTGTTGTTGATCGCTGCATTGACATGCAACAGTGTTGGTCATAAGTGGTTGTGTGAGTAAGCTGCGAACAAATTACCCTTTTGGGGGGAATAATAAAGTTGATCTGAATCTGAAATCTCCTTCAAAATAAAAATGACTAAATTCACTGAACTTTTTTATATCTGAACTTGGACTTTTCTAAGAAGTCAGAAATTGGTCAAGTTTAACATTCAGTACTGGTGGATTAAACATTACAGAAACATGAGAAAACTAATTAGGTAATTGCTAATGCTGCTAATTTAGTACAGCCATGGCATAAACCTCACATTGGGGTCTGATTTAATAAATTCCTTCAGTACCGCAGGGTCATAAATGACATCACCCTGTAAGATGAATGCGATGCAAGGTAGGCCCGTTCACAAGCAGGGGTCACTCTTTGTCCGCTGTGAAAGAACAGCTGCTGATACTTTGTGATTTTTGAGTTTCCCTACATGAGAGATGACAAATGTGAGATAAACACGTCATCCTTCATCACACTGCAAGACCACCAGCTTAGGAACAAGTGTTGCAGCTGAACAAAACAAATCTAGGACGATGCTCGTCTTTCTTGAGCCTAAGTTAACTCTCTTTTCTCTGACAGGGACTTTGAAAAGACGACGAGCGCAGCAGCATGCTAGCTCTCAGGTGCAGCACCAATCCCAGCACCCGCACGGCCACAGCGGACACGGGGGCCACGGCGGCCAGCGGCAGGCACAGAGGCAGCCTCAGCGCCAGGCACAGCCCCAGAGGCACCACCGTCAGCCCAGAGAGAACTATCAGATGGGCCAGATGAGACGCTGAGACCCTGCACCCAGCTCCCCCCTGCTCCCCCCCCAATGCCTTGGCTCCTCCTTGTGCCTACAGAGGGAAACAAAAGCGTCACTCCATCCAAAGAAACGCCTGACATGGTTGTTAGTCATCATCATATCCTCCAACTACAGACAAAACAAGACACGCGAAAAAGAGAAAACGCTATTCAGCAACTCGATTGGCTCTTTGTGGAGGGGACTTGACCATCAGCCATTTCCACTGCAGTGCGATCTAGCAAATTTCTTTTCCCCATCGTTTTTTCTTTTTTTTCTTTAAGGAGTGCCAAGGAGTTAAGGAATCATTTGTAGCTTTAGTTCATTCTGTGGTTTGTTTTGTTTTTCTTTTTTCTTCATCTGCAACATCTTCTTGAGTGACAGGCCCGTAGCTGCTGGTGAACTCTTTTTTTTTATCTTTTTGTTTTCGTTCTTTTGTTTTTGTCATCTTAACCAGGAATGAGAGACACTCAGTGGGGATTCGCGGCACTTTTGTGATTTCACACATGTCAAACGGCAAAAGACACAGGCTCCGGTCTCTCGTGCAGACGGTCTTCTGCATGTGATTGTAAATATTTAGTGTATCATAAGTGAAAACAAACTATTTCTTCTACTGTAAATGTGTAATTCTTCATTTTTTTTTTTGTTTTCTTTAATTTTTCGGTTAGTGCTCTCAGGATTCTTAACACATAAATGAAAGAATGACGGTTGTGGTGAGTTCCTTGGACGCTGCCGTTGAGGATTTGACGCCATCGAGTTCTCTCAGCGGTCCAATCAGGTGGATCTCTCTCACTTTCATGAACTCGCTAGGTTTTGATTTGCTTTTCTTTGAACAACAAGGTCGCCATATCCCACGTTTTAGGCCTTCTCTGTTCAAGGTCCCTTTATTTCACCATTTGTTTTTTTAAAAATTGTCTCGCTAACATCATGTCTTGCCCCTGTTGTACAACAAACTGGACGAGGTCAGAAACAGAAGGAGAAATCGCCTAGTTTGGTGCAACCGTTTACTGTCTGTTTCTTTGTTTCTTTGTTTGTTTTTGATAATAATGAAGAACGAATAACCACTAACTGAAGCTGATGTTGATCCTGCCTGTTCAGATATGAAGTCGAGGTGAAGAGTGAAGGCTGCTGTGGCGTAGTGTAGAAGTGAGAGTGTATCATGTTACAGAGTTAGTTTACATGAGTGTGGAAATAAATTTTAAAAATGACTTAAAAAAAAAAAGATGGAATCATTCTATTATTCTTCAGATAGCGAAACTAAGAAGTTTTTAATGTGGGCATGCAGACACATTTATTAAATGTGACTATTAATTGACCAAGGTTTGTAATGTTTGTATGTCACTCAACACGATTTACTTTGGGCCGCCGGAGCGAGCGGCGTAACGCAGCAGTGTTGTCACATTTATTCACCAACACGTCCCTCAGCAGGGTCACTGCTTCCACGGGAAACGAGCTTCTGGTCCAATCTCTCATCTCAAGGACTGAATTCCCCTTAAGAGCTCACGAGTGCAGGCCTCAGAGTTTACATGAGCGTGCCATAGAACTTTTACGGAGCAGTGCACAGGTTTTCTAAAATCCAGGAAGCACCTGCGAGGTTTCCACTTTAAAGAGAATGAAATGAAGGCTGTGCGATTCGACCTCAGGTGTTTTCTTCCTCTCTTCGCTGCACCAAAGGGGCATCTTGGAAAACCAAGTTAATCACAACACTCACTGGAAGGATTTGATCATGTAATCATGACATAGTGTGCTAAAGTCCTGTCATTTCATTTACCAGGCAGACATTTCGCCCGACGGGATGCTCCAGCAACGACACGTTGCAGATTTTTTTTTTTTTTTGCATTAAATGCTGTGGGAGGACTTTCTGTGCTCTGACTTCATTTTTATCGTGGCATTATGGCTATACTTTAAATGCATGCGGTACTAATCATAACTAATATCTATCTGGTCATTACAGCCACACATGTGCTCTGGAGGGGACGCGACAAACATAATGACACCTCACGGTTTTCCGTTCACGCGGCAGATGAATCGAGCGGGAACGGGGTGTTTTTTTTTGTTTTCCTTTTCTCTGTACAAAAATTGAGCTCTTTTTAAATCTGATCTCCTGAGCCACGTCTCACCTGTCAGGGCCCGGAGAACTGAACCTGTAAACTTGTACAGTACTTGGGGAAAAAAATCGAATAAAATTTGCGTTTCATTTGAAAAATGAGAATTACATTTTTGATACATCGGTTTAATTTCTTTTTTGTATCCTAATTCCAGAGTAAGTTGTTTTAAAGATGTTCATATGTGACAAACTTTCCTCTCTTCTAAGTTATTTTATGTTCTTATATGTGCTAGTTGAACTGGAGTTTGCTTACGATACTTTTCTCCACCGTCTTCAATGCTTAAAAACAATTCAGTGTGATGGAGTCAATGTTACATTCTCATTTTTGTCTTTGTTATCCTGTGGCATGGTTTGGGTAGAAGAGCAGAAGAATAATGCCTGTAAATTTCCTTTCTTTTTAATTTCGTAGTCTTGGTAAAGTTTTTAAATAAACGTGCACTGAAAAATGTCCAAATTGAGTTGAAAATGTTGTAGGTGACGTAGGCCGAAAGAACACATGATTAAAAAGTAATACTACTGTCTGATTTTAATGTTCACTGTGTTTTATACAGTATCGGAAATTTTTGTTCACTTTGAACATTTTTACTAAAAAAAAACCAACAAAAAAAAAAATCAAATTGTATTGTGCAAAGAGATGTAATTTTTTGGAGTACTTGAAATGCATTAATTAAAAGACTCATTCAAAATAAAATAGACCCCTGTTTGCTGTCTGTAAATGTGTGCGTGCTCTGGCTTTTTCTCTCCGTGTGAGGCAGTTTGTTCTGAGGACTGTGCAGCCAGATGTTTAAAGGGCCACTCCCCCTGATTTAACACATGAACCGTCATTTGCATTGGGCTTGAAATAAATGGAAAGCTTGCATTACAGACTGGTGTCATGGTGTTTGAAAGATGCTGATGTTGTTTGTGAAAAAGTTGCATTTGGGGAGAATGTAAGAGATCGGTGTGAAGTTATTAGATCTTGTGATTTATTTATTTTTTTTTTACCAAACTGTTTTTCTATTTTCTAATACGAGCACTGCTGAGGAAAAGCACCATCCCACTCCAATCTGTGTGATACTCTGTTAGTGAAGCAAACATCTACACACCGCTAATAAAATAAGAAATCCTTTTACAGCAGTTAAAAGTTAAACTTGCAAAATTGTTGTCCACATTGTTAAGTGCACCTGTTCAAATGGTCAACACAATATGCAATCAGCCAGTCACGTGCCTGCAATTCAGTGCAGGCATGTTGACAAGGTCAAGACAACCTGCCAGAGATCAAACTGGGCATCAGAATGACTAGAAAAAGGTGATTTAAGCGACTTTGAATGTGGCGTGGTTGTTGGTGCCAGACAGGCTGATATTTCAGCCCTGAGCAATGACACATAGACATCTGTAGGATTTACAGAGAATGAAAAAGAAAAAAGGGAGGATCATTTCTTTGCAACCAAGGTATGCAGAAGACCATCTCTGAATGCACAACACATCGAACCTTGAAGTAGATGGGCTACAGCAGCAGAAGATCACACCAGCTGAAAACTGAGTCAACAATTCAAACAAGATCACCAAAATTATACAGTGGAAAATTGGAAAGATGTTGCCTGGTTTGCGCAATTTCAGACAATAAAATGGGATGTAAACAGCACAAAAGCACGGATCCTGCTTTGGATTAACAGTTCAGGCTGCTGCTGGTCTTATGCTGTGGGGGATATTTCCTTGGCATACTCTGGGCCCCTTAATAACAAATTAGCATTAGTTAAACTTAGTTAAACTTAGCACTTGTGGACTAAGCAGTAGCAAGGCTCTGCTCACCATGAAGGCTGCAGCACAAACAAAGAACCTGCACTGGATGCACAGAATTAATGCAGTTGGGGGAGGAGGGACACTGTCCACCCCTTGGTGGCGCCCCTGATGTGGTTGGGATGAGAAGCTGTTGTAAAAATTACAGTACCATTGGAGTGAACCTTGTTTACTGTGATAAATGCAGTAGCGTGAGGCTCACAGCAGAGGGCGCAGCTGCTTCAGAGACCATGCTGGTGCTGCAGGTTTCCTAGCAGCCTGTGAGTCACCAGCATCAGCAACACAGAGACGCACACACAGCTTTATATATGTTTTGTTTCCGGAGGACACACAATCCAGCACTCATTGCTGCCTGGTCTCAGATATCTTTTTTAAAATTTTATTTGAATACATTTGTTGGAAGGAAAAAGCAGCTGATCAAAAGCTTTTATTCTGTCTCCGCCACACGCCTGCTCGTGTCTTCCACATGTGTGTTACGCACTATATTATTTATTGCCTATACTTATTGATCACTTTGCTCCATGAGTGCATTCAATGATGTAACACCCATAAAAAAAAGTAAGTCAAATCCAGGGAGCATGCATTTGCACATGCAGTGGAATGTGGCCCGCTATCGATTCTCTGCGCATTTCTTCGGCTACAGTTGCTGGTTGTAAACACGATTTTATTAAATCCAGGAACAAGGGATGAGGTTTAGTATTTTGTGTCTCATTTATATTCCAGTAAGTTTACACCAGTGATTGAATATGTACTGATTTTGTGATCTATTCTCATACAATTCCCCCACAGCTCCCACATCCATGTCCCTCTACGTCTGAAACAGCGTAACACAGAGGATATTATCAATATTCTGCATTTACAGTTCCAGCTCTCTGCAAGGAGCTGATGTCACAGCCGATCAGCAAGCAGTGTGCCTTTTGTTTCTCCTTGCAGTGACAAAAGCACGACTGTAAAACGGGCACTTGTGGACAAAAAGGCTCTGCTCACCATGAAGGCTGCAGCACAAACAAAGAACCTGCACTGGATGCGCAGAATGAATCCTTGTTTCGTTGTCCAGCAGCCAGAGGATTTTCAGTGCTCCTACACTCAGTCAGTCTGAGGGGTTTAGTCATTAGTCTTGGTTACTTGTGTACATGGAAAATCCCCAGACCCAGTTCTTTTACCGTCACCCCACATTATCCAAAGCCTGAAAAAGGGATGAAAGACAAGAAGCAAGAATCACATGTACCTGCACATGTATCTTCATGTCAGTCTTCAAACTGCCCACTCTGTTCTCTGTAGCTGCTCCCCAGCTTAGAATAAGATTATATATCAGCTAATTTAGTATTAGTATGTGTTTGTCCCCTGATTGTTGCTGTCTCTCTGCTAGTGTTACTGTTGAACTGCTGTAGGAAGCCAGATAAACTGTAAATAATGATCCATTTACTCACATAGAGTTTTGAGTTGTACTTGTTTCATATGCCTATGTGCTTTTACTCTGCTAGATTTAAGAGGCACGTACCGAGACTCTGAGATATAAGGGCCTAAATTTACACAGATTTCTGTTGGAAATATCCAAAATATTTTTTCAATATAATGGAACTTAACATTAAATCTGACTCACTTCTAACTATTCTTGGAATGCTAAAGGAATGAAGCAGGTAGCCCAACAACATGTTTGTGCTACAGCTGCTTACTACTAGCTTACTACTTTTCTTTTTTATTTTGGAAAACCTTAAAAAAGCATGGCTAACTGAGCTAACAGAGACTTTGAATTAAATTTATCCTGTTTGGATGTTAAATTATTCTCAAATTTTGTAGCTTCTTTTCCACATGTTATACAGGAGCACTTGTCAAGTTAGAGAACTTGGAACAAGTTTTTTTTTTTCTCCACTTCACAGCTCTTATTTAACATGGGTTTTCTTGAACATTATCAGAACTAGAATTCAATCCATATTATTAAAATAATTCTTTCGGTATTCTTATTTTAACTCAAAGGTGAGAATCTCCCAGATGAAGCAATGATGAAGCTTCTCACTTTTAAGTCTTATCACCCCATCATATTTGACTTTTCTAACAATTCTGCAGCGTTGAAGTTGCCACCTGAGGTTCCTGGTGGAAGTAAAATCAGACAACCCACTAAGTCTCAGCTCCTTCATCTGCATTGGGGACATTAGCTGGAGCGAGTCTGTGGAGCAATTTACAAACTGCTCGTATGAGAATGTTTACATCCACTGAGCATCTCATTTTAGGTTGATGTGCAGTTTTCTATTACAAATGCAGAAGAGCGGTGAAGAGAAAAATCTTAGGAGAAGTTGCAACTTGTAGAAACTTTAATGTCGACAAACAAAAGTGAGTAAGAGAGTTTTGCAAAAAGTCAAAACAAGCACAAAAAGTTTGAAGTGCATACGCAAATATCACGACAACCACTGAGAAAAACACAAAGAAAT